ACCTATATCAGTCTGCTGAGAATCTTAAAGACTTAAAAAGAAATTAAACCTAAAATCTTTTCCCTGGCCCAAGCGTATTCATTTCTTCTGACCATCAACTAAGCCACCTGAGCTGTACAGTGCAGGTATAGCTAGGCTGAAATCTTTGGATGGAACATTAACACAAAAATTGAGTGTACCGGAGGAGTTAAATGTGTGGAGCAGCCCCTGAGTCCCTTTCATGATGAGAATTTGATCCCAGCAGAGTGAAAATAGGGGTCGTTTCATTTCTACTTGATTTGATTATATTTTTAATTTTTTTATGGCTAAAAGAAAGCCTTTATTAGCAAAGGCCATTTTAATTCTTGTAAGTTCAACTTACTACTAAATAGGATGAGATACTTAATAGCTGTAATTCAACACTTTATTCCAGTTTAGTCCTTTTCAGTGCACTTGCTGTGAACTCGCTTATATTTTAATAGACAGAAGCCATGAATCATCAGGTATTAAGGTAAATGTTAATTACATGGGAAAATGAAAATTTATAGATGTTTTATCATTAGGTCAGAGTAAGAAAATCAAATGAAGGATATGATGAAGTTTGATTTAGAAATCACTTATCATTAGGCATAAACCTTATTTTATTTTTGGGGACAGAGTTTTGCTACCTAGTCTACGGAGGCCTTGAACTCATGGTAATCCTCCTGCCTCAGCATCTTAAGTGCTGAGTCCTGGGATTACAGGTGTGCACCACCACACCCAGTTTATACACCTTCTGTTAGAATATATATATATATATATATTTACAGAAATTACACAAATCACTTCTTGTCTCTTTCTTTTTTTCTTCCTTTCTTTTTCAGACAGGGTCTCAACAGTATCGTTTAGTCTGGCCTTGAACTCACTGTGGAGCTTAGGCTGGCCTCAAACTCATGGCAATCTTCCTGCCTCAGCCTCCTGAGTATTGGAATTATAGGTGTGTGCGCTACCACACCCGGCTTGTCAAACATTAATACATACTTAGCAATGTTTATTTTTTTAAGCTGAACTAGTATTTCAAATGTAAAAAGAAAATAAAAACTATCTCTAGTTACAAAAAGAAATCAGAAACCTTATTGAAAGTTAATTTACAAATGTGCTAAGAATTCTTAAGCCACACAATAATTTAAGTATGGAAACACTAATTTTAAAAGTTGAAGGCGGCGACCTAGCGCGGCGGTCTCCACGCTGGGCTCTGGAGTGCAAGGTCGCCGGTTCGCGCCCCCATCCCGACTCTTTCTATTGGGCTGGGGAGATGGCTCAGTGGAATAAGCACTTCCCTGGCAAGCGCAAGGGCCTGAGGTCAATTCCCAGTTCCACCAAAAAAAAAAAAAAAGAACAGTTCCACCAAAAAAAAAAAAAAAAAAAAAAGTTGATATTATTTCTGCAGTTTATGTACATGTGTTAAATGGTCTGTTTATAGGAAACCCAATTAAAAGTTGATCATATTAAGCACTATAAAATAAAAGCATGGGGCCAGGGAGATGGCTCAGTAGAATAAGCACTTGCCTGGCAAGGGCCTGAGTTCAATCCCCAGTTCTGAAAAAAAAAAAAAAAAAATTAAAAAATAAAGGTGAAGGGCTGGCCAAATGGTTCAGCAGATTAAAGTGCTTGCAAGCAGGTGCAGGGGCCAGGGATTCAATCACTGAGCCTGCCATGCCAGCCCTGCCCCTGCCCCTGGGGCAGGCTGAGAAGGCAATTGAGACTGGGCATGGTGGTGCACACCTGTAATCCCAGCTCTTGGGAGGCTGTAAACAGTCGGATCACTACTGGTCCATCTAGTAGTGAGACCGTGAAACCCTGTAGACCCTTCCCTAAAATACAAAAATAAATAAATAAAATAAAAACAAAAGCTGATCACCTTTCAACAAAAGTTGTGTACAGGACCAGGGATAAGGCTCAGCAGCACAGCCCCTGCATGGCAAGTGTGAGGTCCTAAGTTCCGTTCCCAGCACCAAAAATAAATAAATAGATCAACAAAGCCATGTTTTTGGCACATAGCAGTGTGTAGTGAAGCAGATGTGAAATGCTGACAGATGGGAAAAGCAAGCCTGTAGCACTCAGGTACTGACCAGATGTTTTTAGTTACCATCCCCAGCCCAGGGTAGAGCGTGCTAAGTTACGTAGTACAAATCCAAGGAAGGTAATACATTTAATAAGCTACAAAGTTTTTGGCAAACCAATACAGTACTCTTTGATACAATAAAATCATATTTCTGTTGGAGTCATGTATTACTTTAGTAACAAGTTTCACTCCAAAAATGTCATTTAAATACCAAATCAGGGGCCGGGGAGATGGCTTAGTAGAATAAGCGCTTCCCTGGTAAGTGCAAGGGCCTGAGTTCAATCCCTGGTTCCACCAAAATAAATGAATAAATACATAAATAGGGGCTGGTGAGATGGCTCAGTGGTCTAAAGCACCTACTTGGAACAAGCTTAGCAAACCACAGGGACCACGGTTCAATCCCCCAGCACCACAGGCCAGCCGGCCCCGCCCCCTGGTGGGCTGAGCTGGCCACACACACACACATAATAAATAAATAAATGTAAAAAAAAATTTAAAAATAAATAAATAAATAAATAAATACCAAATCTAATCACTGTGGGTTTTGGTTTTTTTTTTTTTTTTGCGGAACCAGGGATTGAACTCAGGCCCTTGCACTTGCCAGGGAAGTGCTTATTCCACTGAACCATCTCCCTGGCCCCAACACTGTGGTTTTTAGCAGAGCATGTTACCTTATACAAAGTAATGACCTTTGCAACTTTACAATTTCTTCTTTTAAAGTGAGCTCTTCAGGCTGAGGCAGGAGGATTTCTAGGAGTTTGCAGCTACAAAGCGAGTTCAAGGCTAGGCTGAATTGCACAGGGAGACCCTGCCTCAAAAAGACAAAAGAGGGGCCGGGGAGATGGCTCAGTGGAATAAGCGCTTCCCTGGCAAGCGCAAGGGCCTGTGTTCAATCCCCAGTTCCACCAAAAAAAAAAAAAGACAAAAGAATAAAAATAAAATCCTCGCACGCACAGGTCTGGCTCATGGCAGCATGGCTATGGCTATGGTGTACCCAGGATGTGGCTCTGCTATGTCCAGGGGTCCACAGCAGGGACCCCACACAGAAAAAGTTTCAACATTCTACTTTAACCAGACTCCCTGCCAATACCATTTTTCTCCAAGTACTTTTTAAAAAATGATTACATTTTCATGTAAATACCTAACAATTAGTCATTTCAAATCAGACTCAAATTAAGTGATCCCTGTGATTAAGGATCACCTTAAAGATACTCCTGTATCTTTCTGTGTTGATGAAAATCACATAGCCTTACTCAGAGCTTATCAAAAAAATTCTACCTAAAATATAATCCTGTTTTCTTTTCTTTCCCCATTTGTGTCTGGTGTAGGGCCTCAGTAAGCAGGTTGGGCTCGTAGTGATCCTCCTGTTTTCAGCATCACCAGTGCTGGGATTATAGACATGCACCACCACACCCAGGCTCTAGTCTTCCTTTTAAAATAAATAAATATAGCCTGAGTTCAATCCCTGGTTCTGCAAAAAAAAAAAAAAAAAAAAACACCATAAAATAAATAAATTCTCAGCTTGGAGAGGCCTGGGGCTGGGCGGCAGCCTTCATCATTTCTCTACCAATCCAGCCACTGCCATTGGTATCCTTGTGCTGAAGCTGCCAGTTCTTCATCCTCCACTTTTATTTATTTATTTTTTGCAGTACCAGGGATTGAACTTGGCGCCAGGCAAGTGCTTATTCTACTGAGCTATCTCCCTGGCCCTTCTACTTTTTTTTTTTTTTTAAATATTTATTTATTTATTTAGTGTGTGTGTGGCCAGCTCAGCCCACCAAGGGGCGGGACTGGCTGGCATGTGGTGCTGGGGGATTGAACCGCGGTTCCAGTGTTTTGCTTAGTTTAGCTTGTTCTAAGTGGGTGCTTTAGACCACTGAGCCATCTCACCAGCCCCCATGCCCTTCCACTTTTAATTTATGTATTTTACGCATCACCCATTCCATTGCTTCTAGGCCTGTATTTTTTTTTTAATTAAGAACATTTGATTTTATTTAGAAAAGATTTATTCCCTTACCAATGAAATAAACTTATGTTCCTAGCTAAGTTGCTTAAAGATTTTTTAAAATTAATTTTACTGAGAAAGAAATAGCAATGAGACAGTTTCAAAACAGGTCAGTAGGGGGTTGGGGAGATAGCTCAGTAGAATAAGTGCTTCCCTGGCAAGCACAAGGGCCTAAGTTCAATAACTAATTCTGCCAAAAAAAAACAAAACAAACAAACAAAAAAAAAAACAGGTCAGTAG